GGGCTGGATAAATGTCCTCAGCGGGCCACATGTGGCTCGCAGGCCATAGTTTGAGGACACCTGCATCTTGCCTCAGCCTCCTGAGTAGCTGGGACTACAGGTGCACACCACAGTGCCCAGCTGATTTTTCTATTTTTAGTAGAGGTGGAGTCTCACCCTTGCTCAGGCTGGTCTCAAAGTCTTGAGCTCAAGTGATCCAACTGCCTCAGCCTCCCAGAGTGCTGGGATTATGAGCTTGAGCCACCCTGCCTGGCCTTTCTGTTTGTTTTAAATATTATATGATGTTTAAAAAAAAAAAAAACACACAAGGACATGAGCCTCTACATAGCAGAATCTCTGAAAGAGAAAATGAAAGAACTGAAATAAGTCATTTGGGGTTGCAAAAACATCAGGATCTAGATTTGGGCTCCCTGATACAGTTTCTCCTATTCCTCAAAGATGCTACCTTGGGTCCCTGAAACATCCCAAAGGGCTCCTGTGGTGGAGTGAGAAGGAATAGAGGCTGTGGACACCCCTGGTGCATGAGTTGGCTGGTGCCCCTAAGCTGGTGCTACCTGCTTCTGTGTGTATATTGCCCCTGACTTGTTAAGTTTGCAGGACAGTATGGCTAACTAAGTGCCTTTAGGCTGCAGTGAAATGACCCTTTCCTGGCCTTCAATTCCCCTCTGGCTGAAAAATGTTTAATATTCTCAGCTCTGTTCACTGTTTCCTTTCAGGTCTTTCTATTCAGAGCAGAAATCCTCCCTCCCTCTAGTGCCTCACACTGTGGTGAGCAGGAGAGCCAGCGACTTCCCTGCCCCTAGCTCCTTGCCAAGGCACTTTCAAGTAACAACAACAATAGCAATAGCTAACATTTGTTATACTTACCTGGATTAACTCATCTAATCCCTTACCAACCCTACAAGATAGATACTGTTACTACAGTTCTCATTTAGTGAAAATATTGCAGATAAGGGAGAGATCACTATTATTGTCTACAACTCTTTACAGATGAAGAACCTGAGGTTCAACAACTTGTCCAAGGTCACACAAGCCGGAAATCCACTGGGTTTTCAGGTAGTTTGTTATGTTGCCGTATGTACCTGAAACGGGTGCTGACAATTAGATTGTAGGTGAATATTTTCAACCTGAAAATATGCCTACAATATATTGTTAGTGAAAAAAAGGTTATAAAACAATATGTACAACACAATTTCATTGTGGCAAAAAAACAAAAGCACATGATCTGAGTCTATTCATTTCCCATTTAGGTAGGGAGTGTTTGGATGTCAGAGGATGGTGGCATTTACATAATGTCTGGATCCTATTGGCTGGAAGCTGGTGACTGGAACCCAAAGCAGGACAACATGGTGTCCACTGTTTTTACCCAGTGGAGAGAGAGGTGAAAACTGCTGTGGAGTGCAGTACCTTCTGGGGGCATTGACAATGCTCTCTCCACTCCCACCGTCCTCAGATGGGAACAGTTAGAGTGGTCAGTCGCAGGCAGGGCCAGGTATATCATTTGGGGGACCCAGTGTAAAATGAAAAGGAGTTGCTCTTAGTTTAAAAATTGGAAAGAATTTCTAGACAGAAGAGCATATAGCAAGCGTAGGCACTTCTGGGTGAGGCCCTGGCCAACTGTTCAGATTGCATGACCATGAGGTCACCCCATTTCCAGATGATGGGCGCTCTGGCTCTGCCCTTCCCCCTCCCAGAAGTAGAGAGGGAGCATGTGAGGGAGAGGTGGCATGCCGTGGCTGACCTGTCTCATGGCCCAGGGAAGGCAGAAATGGGAAGAAGAATGGACTGAGGCAGAGCCAGAGGCAGCAGAGGTGGCTGAGCAAGGATGCATGAATTTCCTGTGGGCTCAGTGAATACTGGGGAGGGGTCCAGGGAGGAATTTCAGTGGTGGGCCTCCAGGGCTGCAGCAAGAAGGAGCTGCAGCTGGGAAAATCTAATCAGAGTAGCCTTCCCCCCAACACTCACCCATGCACCCACTTAGAAGCCTGCCCCCAGAAAGCACTGATCACCAGGCAGTGCTGACCAAGAGAACAAGACTTCTGGCCACTGCCCTCCAGCTCTCCCCAACCCAGCACACACCAGCCACGAATCCTGGGATGGAAGGATGCTGATGGGGGGAGAAGCTCCTGTCTCCCCATTGCTTGGAGCTGATGGCACATGCAGGGTGGAGGGTCTTCCTATAATTGCACTTTTACATTTACAATTTAACTTTTACATCCATCGGACTAAACTAACCTGGATTTTTTTTTATTGTGTTAAAACATTTATATTCTACACCTAGTTCATTTCTTTTTTTTTTTTAAGTTTCAGATTTTTTAATAACAATAACAATGTTTAAGATAAGGACTAGAAACAAAAACCTCGTAAAGAACAAATGAAGATAAATACATTCAGCAAAGAAATCAGACAATTGCTGCATCAAAATATTAAGCAATAATAATAATAATAATGCCACGAAAGTAACATTCACATTGTCAAGTAAGAGTGTGTCTATTATAGAATGCTTTGACTCTGAGGTTCAGTATGGAGTCATCAGTTAACTTCTTATTATTTTTTTTCCAAAGTCTCAAAAAAATTAACCACACCTAGTTGATTTCACATGTACCCTTGTAAGATGCACCGTAGGTGTGGGCCCATCAATTACTCTCTCTCCACCCATCCTCCCTTCTTCCCTCCCCTACTAACCTGGATTTTTAATAACTGAAGATGGCCAGAAAGTCAGCAATCTGCCAGGTATGTCATTCAGTGACAGAAGAAGAGATTTGACCAAGCACGGCTGAAGGCTATGAGTAGAGACAAGGCAGAAATGTTTCTTCTTGGAGTCCTGTCAAGTTCAGACCTTTCCATAAACCAGGTCCATGAGAGTAGAACTACGCCTGGAAGGGTACAGAGCATCAGGCAACAGGTGGGTCTAAGACGAGATTTTGTTCCAAGGCAAGAAGTGGCTTTTCATGAAAGGAAACAGATGACTTCCATGCAGTCAGTCCCTGCCACAGCTAGGCCCCTGCCTGGCCTCAGACACCACTGTCCCCAGCAGCACAGGGACCTGTCACAAAAGTCTATGACATCAAAACACCACCACAGAGCCAGGAAAGCTTTTGCCTTGGGTGGGGCTGATTCACAGAGGAATGGGGCTGCTGTACAGTGAGGATGAGGACAGAAGGGAGTAGGGTGACCAATGTGAACCTGTGCCTTCCTGGGGATCCCCTCCATCCTGGGCCATCTGGGATGGTTGGTCACTGGGGGGCAGAGGGGGAGAAGGGGCAGGGGAGATGGCTGTGCAGGTCATGGGGGCTGACTTCCTTTTCCCATCTGGAGAGGGATGGGCCTCTCTCTGTTGGGAGAGTCTCCTCTCCCGAAACTAGGAGGTGTGCAGAGCATGTGAGTGCATGTGTGTGTGAGTGTGTGTGTGTGTGAGTGAGAGAGAGAGAAACAGAGAGAGAGAGGTGGGGGAGAGCAAGCACGAGGTACATTCTCTCTCTCTCTCCTCCTCCCGCCCTCCCTCTCCCTGCTCCTGTGGGAATGACTCAGCAAGGAAGCCAGGCCTGCTTCTCACTCAGCTCCTCCGGTGCTGCGCCTCCTGACCCCTGCGTCTTCTCCTTGTGGCACCTGCACTGGTGGGGCCCAACCACATGGGCAGGAGGTTTCCTGGGCTGAGGCCCCTGTGACCTCTTCTTGGTGGCCTTGAGGAGGGGGTTGCCAGCCTCAGCCTCCGCCCTTCACTCACCCTCACCCTTCCTCATTCCAGCTGCTTTTCTCCTCACAGCTGACACTGATGGAGGCTACTGTAGGTACTCAGTGTGCACTGCCTCCTGCATCCTTACCCAGTGAGGTCAGGGTCATCTACAGACTCACATAGATCGGGATGAGAGGACAGAGTCCAGGGACAGCCACTCATTTATATGCAGCTCTGACAGATGTGCACACTGTTGGGCAGGGACACTTGCTGAAGAACCCTAGGTGACAGCAGTGAAGCTGGAACATGGTCTGTGCTCTGCCAGTAGGACCCCCTACATAAATGGCAGTGCAGCCACATGATGGGATGTCATGAAGTCATACCATGGAGTCATTAGAGAGGACGAGGAACCAGTGAGACAGCTCAGACCTGTAGTCCCAACTATTTGGGAGGCTGAAGCAGGAGAATCTTTGGAGCTCAGGAGTTCAAGGTTGCTGTGACTAGGCTGACGCCACTGCACTCCAGTCTGGGCAACACAGAGAGACCCTGTCTCAAAAAAATAAAGGAGAGGCTCTTTGTGAGCGTAAATATTGAGCAATACCAAGGTACATCAATGGAGAAGAAAGCAGAGTTCAGAGCGGTGTGCCAGCACTCCCGGGGGCTGCTGCGTAGGAGTGTGGGTGTGTGTACACACATATGGCCCCAGAGAGGTTCTCATCTGCAGACCAACTCTGAAAGGGGATGCAGCCATTGGTGGCAATGGTTGTCCTTAGAGAGGAGAGCTAGACTGGGAGCACTAGCTGGGTGACATGACAGGCACCTGTAGTCACAACTACTGGGGAAGCTGAGGCAGAAGGATCGCTTGGACACAGGAGTTTGAGGTTGCTGTGAGCTATGACTTCATGGCATTCCACCAAGGGCAATAAGGTGAGACTCTGTCTCAAAAAAAAAGAGAGACTGGGAGCTGGAGGGTGGGGTTGGAGGGAGAAGTCAGTGCATTTACAGCACCTTTGTTTGGATCAAATCTCAGGTAATGCCTTCTGAAAATGAGAACCCATTGTTTAAAAATCGTGATGCAAGCTGTAAAAGAAAACTCCATGTCTCTGTCTGACCTCAGCGCTCACAGCTTAACTGTCAGAGTGGACTGCCTAGAAGAGTTTGGACTGAGGTGTGCAGGTGAGCGTGTATACGTGTGCATGTGTGAGTACAAGTGTGCTTGTGTATATGAGCGAGTTGTGTTTGCACATAGGAGCAAGTGTATACATGTAAACTTTCAGAACGTTCAGCTCTGGTTCTCACG